TCTTTTTTTGAGACAGAGTCTCACTCTGTTGCCCAGGCTGAAATGCAGTGGCATGATCTCGGCTCACTGCAACCTCCACCTCCCAGGTTCAAGCGATTCTCCTGCCTCAGCCTCCTGAATAGCTGGGATTACAGGCATCCACCAACACACCTGGTTAATTTTTGTAGTTTTAGTAGAGGGGGGTTTCGCGGGTTTCACGATGTTGGCCAGGCTGGCCTCAAACTCCTGACCTCAGATGATCTGCCTACCTCAGCCTCCCAAAGTGCTGGGATTACAGGAGTGAGCCACCATTCCTGGGAGAACTTGCATTTCCACTTACTATTATTAATTCATTTATTATTTCTTTTATTATTTATGCTCATCATTTACATCATTTATAGAGCATGGCAGTTAGTTTCTTATTGATATCCATGTTACCACGCTGCTTTAAGAGTTGGATAAAGTTTGATAAGTAGAATGACCTCAATTTCTAATTTGTTTCTCCTAAGTGGATCTCCTGAGAGCAGCCTTGGGGCCCCCAACTTCACTCCATGCACCTTTTGAGGCATTCTGTAAAATGCCAGCTGTATGGTATGTGCCCACAGAAACAACAAAGTTAATTCTCTCTTTTTGGAATTGCGACTCCCACTCTCCCCCAATTCTTCTAAAGGTTTCCTTTTAAAGAAAAGCCATGGTTCGCTGCCACTGAAAATTAAAGACAACAGCATAAAGATCAAGGTCCAGGCTGGGGCTAGTGATGACAGAACATTAAAATAATCACTCAAATTTCCTTCCTTGAACATTGACAAAGACTACTAATGGAAAGCCAATCTCCAGAACGCAGATTCATTTCAGACTTTCTGCACTTGCATCTCTTTGTTCACAAATTATTTTGACTAAAGTGAACAAATTGGAAGTGTTGAGATAAAACAGGAGAGGTAATGACATACTAAAAAAAAAAAAAAAAAATATTGTATGTGACTCCCCCACTCCACGTCACAACATAGAGTATCATGAAAAACAGGAGGGCTCATTAGGCAAAGGCTAATTTACAAGGTTGAAGAGAGAAGAAATTAATTGACTCTTCCCTCCATCAAGCTATACTTCTGGCTTCTCTAACTACAACAGATTTGCTCCATGAGCTTCTCTATTCTACCTCCCTAGTTCCAGATTATGTTTGGCCATCAGATTCATAACTCATATATCCCAGATTTCCTTCCCATTTGCTGAATCCACATTTTCAAGATTCTTATCTTTTCTTACCCCAAACTGGAGGTCTGGCCTCTGTACCCAATCACATGTTGGCATGATGGCTTGGGATGGTATTCTCGATGCCCAACTATTAGTCCTAGACTTGCAGCTATAGTGGTTCAGTTAGATGAGCGCAGGTTCCTTCCCCCGACAAACATGGAAAGTGTCAAGAGTATTTTCAAAGCATATAAAGTATCTCTTATCCAATATACAACATTGAAGAAGAAGTTTGCCAACAGAAATCTATGGTCACCTGGGAGGAAGAGATTGGTCCAGTACACGCAATAGCTACATTGTAACCTGGTGAATCGAATATTTTCAAAACACAGGTAAAGACATCTGAGATAATAAGCAGGAGGAAAGAAAAAACTTTAGGTGAGCTTTTCTTTCTTTTACTCCTTTTTTAGTTCGTTGGACACTTAGAGGCATGAAATTAAAACTCGTGAAAAACAGTCATATCGACTGGCTGTGGTGACTCAAAAGTTGTCGTTTCTCGACTCAACTTTGCTGAAACACTTGATTCATGTTGTTCTTATTTAACCTAATTTGCATTGATTTAATCAGTGCTGGTATGCTTTAAATACATAATAAATTGGGATTCTGCAACTTAGATGACTTAGAATAGCTAAATTTCAATAAAGCTCATTTCAATCTGTTAATGTATACGGTTCTGCCAAGGGGTTTAAAACTGTAGAAAAGATGCAAACTTGCCACATTAGAGGTGGGAAAGGCTTAAAGATACCATATAGATAAAACAATTTGCAGGATAATAATGTGAAAAGCAATATATATAAAATATATATTTTTACATATAATATATATATAATTTATTTATTTTAATTACAGCCTAGGAGCATCTTCTAAGTTTTGAGTAGCACACTTAGAAGAAAACTCACATATAAATCAGTGAATTTAATTTTATTCCCTTTCTTTCTTGCCAACACTCAACTCTTCTGCCTCTCTGCACCAGCTCTACAAATCAAATGACATCCAAAGTGGGACCTCTTCTTGCCCATTTGGCAGCCTCTGTCACCACTTTGCCAAGCAGCCAGCATTAGGAGGTTTTTTTTTTTTTTTTTTTTTTTTTTTTTTTCCTAGCAGCCCTAGGGATTGGGTGGCGTGTACTCACAGTACTCACTGAATGGCTGGCAGCTGTTTAACCCTGCCTGCGCCTGCTCAATACCCCTCCCCCACCTCCCAACTCTTTAGAGTTTATGGCTCCATCAGCTGGCCTGCTGTCAGGAATAATTGTCTTGGCTAGAGGTGAAACCACTTGATGGTGAATTTGTTTGTCTGTCTGTTAAAGTGTTGCACAGCACCTTGGAGGTGCCAGGATAAAACCTGCAAATGCCTGATCCAGAGTTAGGTAGGCAGCAAGAGTGACAGAGAGGCAATCATCAAGAATGGAAAATTAAGAAAAAGAGAGAGAGAAAGAGAAAAGAAAGAAAAAGAAAGAGAGAGAGAGAGAGAGAAAGAACGAACGAACGAACCAAAGAAAGAAAACCATCTGTGCCAGTTGCAAGCTGTATGACCTTGGATAAACCATGATGTCTCTTGGCCTCAGTTTCGTCACGTGCAAAATTAAGGGGTTTGATTTTCTAATGTCTCTTCTAACTCCTAAGACAGCATGTGATGTCTAGGACATTTCAGATTTGTGTTCCTTCCAATTAAATGATACATCTCAGAGATGAATGACCAGGGCAGAGCTCAGATGAATACAAAATGGAATGATTCATGCCCCTGTTCATATGACTTTTCCTGAAAAGTACCACCAGTCTTTGGTGACTTTGATTCCATTGGTTGGTCTCTTCAGCTTAGATGCTAAGGACCAATCCAGTTACTTGTCCATTCTATCTACCCTGGCTCTGGTAATCCACCCTCATTCCTATCAAAGTAAGTGCCACTACACATAATGCCTACTGATTTTGAGTTCCTTAGAGGCAGAAACGATAGGAATTCAAAGAGCGGAGCTGGAGACTCACATTTGACTCTCCTTACCATCTCCCTGGGCATCTTTGTCAAGAAGGAAGGCTTAGCCACACTCACTTCCCGCAGGCTTTCTCAGTCATCTTGGAGGATTTTGTTTAAACAGATGACCAACTGACCCTCCCCAGGGCAGACCCTCTCCAGACCAGTTGGCACAAGGTGTGTGTGTGCGGGGGGGGGGGGGGGGGGGGGTGCGGGGAGCTCATTGTAAGGACTCCTATCTATAAATGATTGTGAATAGAAATAATGAGGCAAAGGCTTCTCGTCATATTTAGAGGAAAAAGTGGCACAATTCAGTGCAGTCTCAAAGCTTAATTAGGGATGTGTGTATGGAGACGGGTAGGCTTCATTATGGCTTAAACTACCACATCCCTACACATTCACACTCTCCTGGAGTAGAGTGCACTGCAGGGCCCAGCAATCACCATGAACAGCACAAGTCAGGGTTAGTCCTCCCCATGTCAGACAGCAGAATCGTTCTTTAATCCACCCTGTACCCCATATGTATCTATGGAGCCTGATGAAGCCCCGGAGGGATCTCAGTCAAGTCTCCCTGTACACAGACATACCTTTTTGCCACACCGGATCTCACACCACCGGGACTGGGATGGCTTCCCAAACTAGGTGGGTTTGGAAAGTATTTCCCCCTTCCACCTCAAAAAAGGGCTGGCTGACTGCAGAATTCCAGTACCCGCAAGGCGGGGGGTGGGGGGAGAGACAAAAAATCTTAGCCAAGCCCCAAATCATTGCCTTCCTCTGTCTTCTCTCAAGTTGCTTTTCTAAAGCAAAGGTCCAAATGTTGATTTCTTTGCAGATTCCTACGTATCTCTTACACGTAGACAGTTTTAAAGGAGAAAAGAATATATCCCCAAAAGGGAACGGGGAGAGCACAGAATATTTCAGTTTCTTCCCACTTGGAAATATCTTGTCGTGGATGATGCTACCCCTATCGCCACCTCCCTCCCCCCTCCTTTTTTTTTTGAAATATGGACAAAAAAGCTTAAAGTGTTTTCCGTTTCATCAAAGAACATATATTACTTTAGTGGTTCGGTAAAATGTTGGTTTTATGCCCACCCCTTTTCAATCTGCCCATGTCTGAGGTGCTCGGGGAAGACGCACAATCGTGAGCAGCTTACGACACTCAGTGAGCAGTAGGTGCCTGTGCAAGCTCGCGCCTCACACTGCCTGGTGGAGAGAAGGAGCCCGGGCGCCGCTCGCCGCTTCCCGCGACGCCGCCCGCACCTCCCCGCCGCCCGCCGCCCGCAAAGCATGAGCGAGCCCGCTCTCTGCAGCTGCCCGGGACGCGAATGGCAGGCTGTCTCTGCGGAGTAAAAGGTGGCGCCGGTCAGTGGTCGTTTCCAATGACGGACATTAACCAGACTGTCAAATCCTGGGGAGTCGCGAGCCCCGAGTTTGGAGTTTTTTTCCCCCACAACGTCACAGTCCGAACTGCAGAGGGAAAGGAAGGCGGCAGGAAGGCGAAGCCCGGGCTCCGGCACGTAGTTGGGAAACTTGCGGGTCCTAGAAGTCGCCTCCCCGCCTCGCCGGCCGCCCTTGCAGCCCCAAGCCGAGCAGCAAAGTGAGACATTGTGCGCCTGCCAGATCCGCCGGCCGCGGACCGGGGCTGCCTCGGAAACACAGAGGGGTCTTCTCTCGCCCTGCATATAATTAGCCTGCACACAAAGGGAGCAGCTGAATGGAGGTTGTCACTCTCTGGAAAAGGGTGGGTAAGACACTTTTTAATTAAATTCTTTCCCGAAGATTTTTTTTCCTCCCTTTTCTTTGCTGCAGCATCTAACATGGACCAAATCACCATCTCTTTGATCTTTCCGTGGCTGTGAACTTTCTATGCTGCCCAGCTTTCTGCATGCTTAGAGGTGAACGTGTGGTTTTTGGGGAGGGGGGTCCTTCTTTATTTCTATGTATTTATTTGATTTTTTGCCCTTTTCTCCTCCTCCCCCGCTCCCCCTCCCTCGGAATAAAATATGATGTAGATTTCTGACCGAGCGCTTCCAATGGACATTCTCCAGTCTCTCTGGAAAGATTCTCGCTAATGGATTTCCTGCTGCTCGGTCTCTGTCTATACTGGCTGCTGAGGAGGCCCTCGGGGGTGGTCTTGTGTCTGCTGGGGGCCTGCTTTCAGATGCTGCCCGCCGCCCCCAGCGGGTGCCCGCAGCTGTGCCGGTGCGAGGGGCGGCTGCTGTACTGCGAGGCGCTCAACCTCACCGAGGCGCCCCACAACCTGTCCGGCCTGCTGGGCTTGTCCCTGCGCTACAACAGCCTCTCGGAGCTGCGCGCCGGCCAGTTCACGGGGTTAATGCAGCTCACGTGGCTCTATCTGGATCACAATCACATCTGCTCGGTGCAGGGGGACGCCTTTCAGAAACTGCGCCGAGTTAAGGAACTCACGCTGAGTTCCAACCAGATCACCCAGCTGCCCAACACCACCTTCCGGCCCATGCCCAACCTGCGCAGCGTGGACCTCTCGTACAACAAGCTGCAGGCACTCGCGCCCGACCTCTTCCACGGGCTGCGGAAGCTCACCACGCTGCATATGCGGGCCAACGCCATCCAGTTTGTGCCCGTGCGCATCTTCCAGGACTGCCGCAGCCTCAAGTTTCTCGACATCGGATACAATCAGCTCAAGAGTCTGGCGCGCAACTCTTTCGCCGGCTTATTTAAGCTCACCGAGCTGCACCTCGAGCACAACGACTTGGTCAAGGTGAACTTCGCCCACTTCCCGCGCCTCATCTCCCTGCACTCGCTCTGCCTGCGGAGGAACAAGGTGGCCATTGTGGTCAGCTCGCTGGACTGGGTTTGGAACCTGGAGAAAATGGACTTGTCGGGCAACGAGATCGAGTACATGGAGCCCCATGTGTTCGAGACCGTGCCGCACCTGCAGTCCCTGCAGCTGGACTCCAACCGCCTCACCTACATCGAGCCCCGGATCCTCAACTCTTGGAAGTCCCTGACAAGCATCACCCTGGCCGGTAACCTGTGGGACTGCGGGCGCAACGTGTGTGCCCTAGCCTCGTGGCTCAGCAACTTCCAGGGGCGCTACGATGGCAACTTGCAGTGCGCCAGCCCGGAGTACGCACAGGGCGAGGACGTCCTGGATGCCGTGTACGCCTTCCACCTGTGCGAGGATGGGGCCGAGCCCACCAGCGGCCACCTGCTCTCGGCCGTCACCAACCGCAGTGATCTGGGGCCCCCTGCCAGCTCGGCCACCACGCTCGCGGATGGCGGGGAGGGGCAGCACGACGGCACATTCGAGCCTGCCACCGTGGCTCTCCCCGGCGGCGAGCACGCCGAGAATGCCGTGCAGATCCACAAGGTGGTCACGGGCACCATGGCCCTCATCTTCTCCTTCCTCATCGTGGTCCTGGTGCTCTACGTGTCCTGGAAGTGTTTCCCAGCCAGCCTCAGGCAGCTCAGACAGTGCTTTGTCACGCAGCGCAGGAAGCAAAAGCAGAAACAGACCATGCATCAGATGGCTGCCATGTCTGCCCAGGAATACTACGTTGATTACAAACCGAACCACATTGAGGGAGCCCTGGTGATCATCAACGAGTATGGCTCGTGTACCTGCCACCAGCAGCCCGCCAGGGAATGCGAGGTGTGATTGTCCCAGTGGCTCTCAACCCATGCGCTACCAAATACGCCTGGGCAGCCGGGATGGGCCGGCGGGCACCAGGCTGGGGTCTCCTTGTCTGTGCTCTGATATGCTCCTTGACTGAAACTTTAAGGGGATCTCTCCCAGAGACTTGACATTTTAGCTTTATTGTGTCTTAAAAACAAAAACGAATTAAAACACAACAAAAAAATCCCCACCCCACAACCTTCAGGACAGTCTATCTTAAATTTCATATGAGAAACTCCTTCCTCCCTTTGAAGATCTGCCCATATTCAGGAATCTGAGAGTGTAAAAAAGGTACCAATCATTGATTTTTTTTTTTTTTTGTAAACTAAAATGTTTAAAATAAAATAGCATTTACAGTTTTTACAGACTGGTGTAACCTAAATGAATTGTTACTTGTGTTACAAGAAAAGCAACAGTTAAAATTTCCTTGTGGGGTGGGGAGGGGAGTTGTCCAGAGGCCAGAAGGAAATTCCAGGAGCAAAGTAGTCAGATTCATTTTGAAATTTTAAAGACGGGCCAACAAAGCTTATCAGATTAATGACTTATGTTAATTTACTCCACATGAGTAAGGACTGGAAAAAGAAAAACAGCAAGACCCTTTATATTATTGGGGCAAGGACAGTGCAATCTAACCACCTTCAAGCAAGTGAGAGGTGGACTGAGGACTGGGCATCCTTGCTCAGCCTTTAAAGCAGAGAGCATTGCAAATGGCTTTTAAAAGGCAGTGCCAGACAGTTTGTCCTAGGAACACGAAACATTTTTGCACTTAATGTAACCATCTTTCAAATCAACTCAAAATGTAACCATCTTTCAAATCAACTCAAAATCTCATCCCCAAATGCCACCTGTTCTTAATTCTCCTGAGTCTTTGATTCACCCGACATAGTAGTATTTGTGCCCTTTTTGTACCCCCTGTTAAAGGGAGCCCCTCAGCTCACTGCTCTCTTTGGTCTGGCTGAGGGGAAGGAGGCAGAATCCTGATATTTAGGGCTGAAAGCTGTGCTTCTGGAGCACAGTGCTAAGACTGCAGCACGCTTAGGTTCCCAGACAGTGACAGCACATTCCTAGTTTCTATGGGGAACGAGGAGAAAAGCCTACCTCAGGATGAATGCCTGCAGGGTAATGACTTGTAGCAAGAGACTTTAGGGGCAGAGGTGACAGAGCAGTGATGGGGTGGGGAGAGTGGGAGAAGATAATCATCTGATCCTGTGTTTGCATATTTCTGAGATAGGAATAATTTGTTAAACCAGGACAGAAAAGCTGCCTCTTCTCAGATTGCCCTTTTGTGTAATGCTTGCTTTCCCTATTTCTTTCTTTTTTCTTTTTTCTGTGTTGGGATTGATGATTGCTCCTTCTCATCCCTCATAGGTTTCCAGGTCCATCATTGAGATTTCAGTTTCTATTCAACTAAAGAGTGAGGAAGTGGTGGTAGTGGCAATTGGTGGGTACAGAGAAGGGAAGGGGAAAGCTGTGTGCATTGGACGGAGGGCTCCTTCATCAGATGATAATTTAAGCAAATGTATGATTGAAATAAACTGTGATGGATGACAGATGCTGAACCAGTGTAGCCCACATCCCTAAGTCTTTCTCTTCCCTCTCTGACACTAAAGACTTACATCTTTCTGTTTTTATTTTTCCTTTTTTTTTTTTTTTTTTTGAGAGAGAAGTCCAAATAGCAGGAAGAGGGATGGGGGGATGAGGAACCACACACTACCATCCCCCAAAACGCAAATGTCTCCAGCTACCAATCTTAGGAGGCAAAATCAGCTTTTTGAAATGCAGAATGGTATCACCAGAAGGTTTCCTTAAACTAAGGGTTGGTGGTAGGTTTCTCTTCTACCTATGGAGAAACCAGTATGCCTAAAAATATTGTTTCTAAGAGTCTCTTTCAAGATAAATATTTTGCAAATGTCTTTTAAGATGTTAAGCCCTGGGAGACAGCTTCTTACACACACACACACACACACACACACACACACACACACACCCCAACACCCCAGCTCATTTTTCCTGACCAGGAAACTTCATCTTGCTTTATTTATAATTAAAACATGACATTATGACACACATCATGCACATGACACCCATTCAGATTGTTAGTGTTCTAGAAGAGAGGTGCTTTGTTTGATAACTTTGAGGAGGGGGTTTTGAATTTAAGCATAATCATTTGGGTTTGCCTTTCTAAATAGCATACCACTCCGAGAGCAGGGGTAGCAGGAAAAAGATTCTCTCAGGTATGTGCCTTACCTAAAACCCTACTAAAGCGACCTCCTCTAGAAGACAGCATACCTTTTTTAGAAAAAAAAAAAAAAAATTGTAGCAACTGAAGGAGGGCTCCTTGGATTCCGTGAACTTAACCATCTCATAGGAAGGCTACAGGAATCCAGCGCCCAAAGCTGCTCTGGCTTGGTGCATTAAAGAGCTGTGTGGGTGTGCTTATAGGGAAAGCTTTCAGAAGCAAAACCTTCCTGGCAAGCATGAGAACCACAAGTCCCCTCCTACCCTCTAGAAATCTGAATATTGGAAACTGTAGTTTATCTCCTATTGCCAAGACATTTTTATCTTTCACTCTTCTTGTTTCAAGGTGGCCATAAGAAAGAGAGAGAATAATCGTGCTTTGTTTTATGCTACTCCACCCACCCTGCCCATGATTAAATATCATATATGTAGAGGATCTTAAGTCCATGCATATTTCATGAAGAACCATTGGAAAGAGGAATCTGCAATCTGGGAGCTTAAGAGCAAATGATGACCATAGAAAGCTATGTTCTTACTTTGTGTGTGTGTCTGTATGTTTCTGTGTTGTGTGTCTTTGTAGGCAAACAAATGTTGTCTACACAAACAGGAATTTAGCTCACATCATTTCATGTCCCTGTGACTCTAGCTCTGGAGATTGGTGGGGGGAGGGGGAAGGGGAAAAGGCAGGAATAAGGGAAAGTGGTAGTTTTAACTAAGGTTTTGTAACATTTGAAATCTATTCTTTCTCAAATTAATTAATCTTTAAGCTTCGAGAAACTTGCTCTGACCCCTCTAAGCAAACTACTAAGCATTTAAAAGAGAATCTAATTTTTAAAGGTGTAGCACCTTTTTTTATTCTTCCCACAGAGGGTGCTAATCTCATTATCCTGTGCTATCTGAAAAGAACTTTAGGCCACAATTCACGTCTCATCTTGGGCACTGTGATGGATTGACCCTCCATTTGCAGTACCTTCCCAGCTGATTAAAGTTCAGCAGTGATATTGAGGTTTTTCGAATATTTATATAGAAAAAAAGTCTTTTCACATGACAAATGACACTCTCACATCAGTCTTAGCCCTAGTAGATTTTTAAGGTTGGACCAGAGGCAGCAGATTAAATGAGACCTGTCCTTTGCTGTACTCAGAAAAAAAAGGCAGTCGCTATGCTCAGATCGTAGCCTTGATATTAATAGTTGAGACCACCTACCCACAATGCAGCCCATACTCCCAAGACTACAAAGTTGCCATCACAAAGAAAAGGTTATTCCAGTAAAAGGAAATAATTTTCTAAACAATGTAAAAATATTCTTCTGAACTTATCAAAGTATAAGAGTGCCCTGCCTTTTCTCTCTGCTTTCAAGAAGGCAGACATTTGGTATGATTTAGCATCAACAACACATTTATGAGTATGTGTAAGTAATCAGAGGGGCAAATGCCACTTGTTATTCCTCCCAAGTTTTCCAAGCAAGTACACACAGATCTCTGGTAGGATTAGGGGCCACTTGTGTTTCTGGCTTATTTTAGTTGACTTGTCAGCAATTTTGATGCCTAGTCTATCTGACATGGCCCAGTAGAAGAGGGCATTGATGGATCACATGAGATGGTAAAAGAAACATCATCACATACCCCTCTCACAGAGAAAATTATCAAAGAACCAGAAATTATATCTGTTTTGGAGCAAGAGTATCATAATTTTCAGGGTAGTCAAACATCAATCATCTCCTCTAGATGAGTGGTGATGTTGGTTGATTTGGATCTGCCATTGACAGAATGTCAAATAAAAAGGAATTAGCTAGCATGTGACCATTAAATAGGCTTCTGAAATATATACACACACTCCTACCTCTCAGTCTATCTCTGTATATATAACAGCACACACACAAACATGCACACACACATATGTGTGTGTATATACATATATATGTATAAAACCACATATAACCACACACACATACATATATAACCATACACACACACACACACACACACACACACGTGCAGGCAGGTGACCACATTATGTAACTACCTTCTAGCACTAATTACCCTAATACTTTCTTCTTCATAATCAAACTTTTATTCAGGAAAGGATCTCATAAAATAAGTGACAGTTAAGATATAAAGGACTGATATGGCTGATGGTATTTTCAGGCATTAATGAGTAGGTAGATGCTTTGCAGGCTGGGGAACTTCTGAGCTCCTTATGCCACAGCAGAGTGTAACCTGCTGTCTAGTGGGAAGAGCTAGCAAATGGGAATATATTTTTTGAGAGTATTTTCCACCTCAGGGTTAAGAAATATATTTTTCCACTAAAGAATGCTCTACTCTGATTTTTTTTTTTTTTCTTTTCTGGGATTCAGGAGGCAAAATTCTTACTTCTGATTGGGCACCATCTCCTGGCCTTGCTCAACTGGACACAATTTCTGAAGACCTTTGCTTTTTTACTCCAAGTAAAGGGACTGGCTATTGCATTCTTACAGTTTAGACAAAGATATAAATGATATGGAGAAATACAATTTACTGAGCAGTCACTAGTACGGTGCCTTTATCTAGATCACCATAAGTGAGGGAGGTGCCAGCAACCTTATCTTCACATGAAGAACTTGAGGCTGACAGAGGTCAGGTATGTTGTGCAAAGTCACCCCGCTAGTGATTGGAAGCACTGTGATGTGCTGATTGACTTGGTGGCCTTTTCACTACACCCTGTTTCTTTATTCCTTGAATGGTTGCCCCTCCACCCCTGCACATAACAAAGAGCCTAGAACTAGACTGGGAACAGGACACATGCTCAACACATTCTTGTTGAATGCCATGGGCACAATGCTGAAATCCAGGAATTCTGACCATGACTTGTTTGCTCTGGTCACTGGTAATAGGGCAACGCAGGACTCTGCCAATAGAGGAGACTTCTCCAGGGTTCCAGGAGAAGAAATGGCCAGTACATTCAGTCCACCCCCTTAAAATAGGATTTTAGATTCAGAGAGAGTAAAGTATAGACATCCATATGTTATTGTCAGGGATTTATCTGCATTTCTTCCTTCGTGATTAAATGGATCA